CGCAGAAATAACTCTTAAAATTTGCTTCTTATTTTAAAACGCACAAATAACTGGTATACTTGCGTTATATAATATAAAAAGCAAGAGTATCGCGCAATTTCTGCGCGATATTTTTAAAATGAAAATATAAAATGCAATTTTCATACAAGGTAGTTGTTTTTGCAATTCCATAGAAAATGTTTTAAAAGGTTGGTGTAGGTAAAGATTTAGTTCAGTTTTTTGTGGCCCTACTGTGGCCCCACTGAAGTGAAGGATTAGTCGAAGTACACCACGAAACGACTTGGGTCCTTTTTCGTCCTTCGATTCTCGGATGTTGTTATTGAGTTAAAGCTGGAGTGGCTTCCGTTCGCATAACTACATCTTTTGTTAATGCAAGCATCTCATTTAGCTTGAGGTTTCCTGCCAAGTCGTCACCAACCCAATGCTGTCCCAAGACAGTCTTCCTCCTACTTGCCAGTGCTGGACATTGGCACAATATATGCACCGCTGTCTCCTTTTCTTCTAGACATAGTCTGCAAGTGTGTTCCTCAGCAAGAGTTATCTTTTTGAGGTGATACTTGAAGTTGCCATGTCCAGTAATTAGTGAGGTCAGCCAGCTTAGAGTGCTCCGCGAATAGCTAAACACTTTTATCGCTTCTCTGGCCCACGGTTTAGGTAACATGAGTTTGGTCTGTCTACAAGTGCTCAACTCTCTCCATCTATTAAGATGAAGTGAGATTATCCACTTATAGACATAGGCTGCCGTCATGCTGTACCCCAATGGTATTCTGGGCTCCGGGCCACAGAAATTATGGCTTGATCCTTGCTTTGCAAGTTCATCTGCCTTCTCGTTTTGCTCAATACCGATGTGTCCTGTAACTCACATGATCGTCATCTCATTTCCATGAGGACATTCCATGAGCTTCGTTACACATTCTTGTACTAAGCTGTTAGTTATGTATGTCTTTTGCATGCTTTTGATAACTGCTTGGTTGTCCAGCGCTATCAGAATCTTTTTCTGATATACCTGACAATCCAATAGGTGATCCAGAGCATGTGAGACCGCCATAAGTTCCATAAGGAACTCTTAACATTCAAATCATAAATAAGGTGGGGTGCATAACCTAAATTGTTGTGTCTCACATATTAATCTGATATAATTTTTGTAATCCAATTTTGGGAATCTATCATGAACAACTTGGTATACCCTGAGTATACCGGCCTTGGAAAGGGCCAGGAAGGTCATTACAAATGGCGTACGAACAGGGACACTTTTTCAACCTAACGTGACCGCAGAATAAAAACTAGGATTAAGACGGCCGAAAAAAAAGTGCACCATGTCGATCATTGCCTTATCGTATGGTCAAATCATAGACCAGATATGTGAATGGTGTGTAAGGTACAACGGAGAGAGGGATCCATTAAAGTTTGTGAAAAGAATCGAAGAACTAGCAGACCGCGACCACATCGATATGAATCGAGTTCTCAGCACGATGCTCGTACTGCATCAGATAAAGCATTGATGTGGTACCGCGACAACAATAAGCGTTGGAACCGCTGGTCAAGCTTCAAGGCAGACTTTTTAGAATTTTTCCTTCCACATGGGTATTTCCAAAGATTAGAAGAACTTCTTACAGAGCAAATTAAAACAAGTCGAAGTCAGGTACAGAAAGCGATCAGCAATCGTCTGATAATTGAGCATCCAGAAACGATGTCATTACCGAATACCACGAAATGCGTACCAACCACAAGGACAGGGAAGAACGTTACTTACAGTGTGAATCTGAAGCTACATGGGCTACAATATAAAAAAAGTTACCAGCAACAGAACAATTCTAAAGTAAAGCAAACAACAACACAAAGAAATAGCATTACAACGTCAATGGCACCATTACTATCCAAGTCGAGCATGACACTAAGCATGCAAAGTTAAACTTACCCAGCGCGATCCTCAGTAACACCGCAAGAAAATATATAGGAAGCACAACATCTGCGTGGTTCGAAACTCATCAAAGAAAATCCGAAACTACAACCACAGCAAGGAGTACAAACCGTTACGCCCGTCGAAGTAAACCCTCAGGTGCAAGATCCACAAACACAACAGTTTGAAGAAAACCCACTGATTACATTATTGACACAAGATGTAACGCGAGAAGTACAACCACAACCGGTCGAAGAAAATCCGCAGGTTCTAGACGCACTACCATAACGAGATCCTCATTTTCACGAAGAACAACCGATCACACCATCGAGCGAATCACAGGTAGGAAATATTCCAGTACAACAAGATCGACAGAAGATTACAGCCATCATAACTAAAACAAGACAAGTTCAACTGAATCAAGAAGCACCAAGTTCTCAAGCATCACCAACTCTTCAACGAATCTCGATCATTCACTCCATTCAACAAAAACAACTATCACAACAAGAGAAAGATCGTTCTACGCAGCCGGTAGAAATGTTAAATAATCCTCTGACACAAACCCGATGCCTCAGAATTCGGAATTCATCCAGTATTCAAAATCAGCCGATACCAATTGATAATGCAGATGTGATTCAGCAGAAGGGTTATTGTTATATTTCTTTGTTCAGAAACTTTAATTTTATTTATTCAATTATACGTTCTCAATTACAATTACTTAAATCTCTATATTTTTTTGTTAAAACATGTGCACGCGTCACCTTACTATCTTTTCCACATAAAAACAGCTGATCACCTTAGTGATGCCATCTCGTTACGATTATTGATTTCATATCGTAACATCTTCCCTTTTCGAAATGTTTTACTGTGGTTGAAACCTAGTGACTGCTTTGCGATTACGTGTTGTCCTACGAAGAACAGGTGATGTAGGTGTTGAAATTGTTGTAGGCATTATGGGTAACTCCATTTGGAATGTTGGCGTAAATTTCATCTAATGGAAAGTATTTTATTTCCTTGGCACCGTGCCTTTTGTTAAATTGCTTTTCCATTTTGAATTTATTTGGACTTAACTTTGCAGTGTGTAGCTTTTTTGGCTGCAGCAAATCTAAATTTATTCTCATTTTCCTTCTAAACATGACTTCTGCTGGAGATCGCTTCTCTGGTGAGTTTATATTCCGTGTTGAACGATATGTCTGAAGAAATGTGCATAAATTTTGTGTAATCGTCCCCTCTCCTTCTAATTTTTTTAAAGATCTTTTGAAAGTGTCTACAAACCTTTCAGCCAGGGTTTGAATTGCTGTCGCTAATTGCATTGCTTGCATAATTGCTAACGCATTGCATATGAAAATGAAATAAGAATATGCATTAGCAACAGCAAAAAACGTAAACTGGTTTCATTTTGATTGCTTGCTAATAGTCAATTTTACATTTTTGACTATTATGCATTTGGAATATATGCAACTTGCTTGCTTATGCGTTAGCTGCTTGTGTTTTGCTATTAGCAAATGTGTATGGATTTCTTCTTTTTGTTTTTGTTTTAAGGGAATATGTACGCATTATTTCTTTGTTGGTGCATTGAATATAGTTGTGCAAAATTGTAAGTAATGTGTGTGCTTACAATTTGTATGCAATTAATATAATTTTATCTGTAAATAGATTTTGCCTAAATTTATGTTTTTTTTAATTATTAAATTTATGCTATATATGATATATATACATATATATATAGAAATATATATTAATTATTAATTATTAATTCATATATATATATATATATATATACGTTTATATTTGTGAATACAAATGATATTTGTGGGAAAATTTTAAATAATATGTAGAACATATTACAAATGAAGTAGAAGAAATAGCTTTGACGTAGATTGACATGCTTTCCAGTTGCACTAGCAATGTGTTCGACTAATTTTGAGGCACTTACTTTCGGATTTTTGTTAACTTCTTTTAAAACCAAGCTGACATCCCTACGTATGAGTATCCTTGGGCGGCCACTGCGAGGCTTATTTTCAATAGAACCACTATTTTTATAATTTTTTATTATCGTCTGAACTGTTGCTCGAGTCAAATTTACTAGTTTTGATATTTTTACCATAAGGTTTTTTTTCATTTCTATGCTTAATAACCAGATTTCGCATATCACTTGAAATTCTTTTCGTGGACCCATCGTGTCAATTAAATACCACTCTCAAAGCACAACTAAGTGCATTATATAAATGTATGACTCATGCCACAAGCATGAAATATGAAAAACGGTACTTTCCCGTTTAACATTTAAATTACTGTCGACTATATCTAACAACCAATGAAGTGTATGTAGACTTTTGTCAATGATTTTTTTAGGTTTTTTTCGAATAACTTTGTTAATTTATATTGATGAATGGATTTTCTTTTGTTTATTATTATTAAAAGACAGTTCTAAACAAAACTGTATCATTACTTTTTTCTATTATGTCTTTGGATTTACGAGCTAGCAAAAATGGGGGGTGTATGTAGAGTTTTGTCGCTGACTGTATATATATCATATATAGCATAAATTTAATAATTAAAAAAAACATAAATTTAGGCAAAATCTATTTACAGATAAAATTATATTAATTGCATACAAATTGTACGCACACACATTACTTACAATTTTGCACAACTATATTCAATGCACCAACAAAGAAATAATGCGTACATATTCCCTTAAAACAAAAACAAAAAGAAGAAATCCATACACATTTGCTAATAGCAAAACACAAGCAGCTAACGCATAAGCAAGCAAGTTGCATATATTCCAAATGCATAATAGTCAAAAATGTAAAATTGGCTATTAGCAAGCAATCAAAATGAAACCAGTTTACGTTTTTTGCTGTTGCTAATGCATATTCTTATTTCATTTTCATATGCAATGCGTTAGCAATTAGTCGTTTGACAAAAATCGACTGGTCCATAGTTATGCATTAGTCAAAATATGGTTGCTTTTGCTAATTTTCAGCAAGCAATTCAAACCCTGCTTTCAGCTTGACCATTCGACATTGGATAGTAAGTGCTGGAATATAGATGTTCAACGCCGTTATGTTTTAAGAATTGTTCAAAATGTTCACTACGAAACTGTGCCATTATCTGATACGATTATTTTTGGCAGACCAAATCGGGCAAAAACATTTAAAATATTCACAGTTGCTTGTGATGACATTGCTTTTGTTTGAACAATTTCCGGCCACTTTGAATATGCGTCAACAATGACCAAAAAATACCATCCTTCTATCGGTCCAGCATAGTCTATATGCACCTGCTTCCACTGTTCGCTTGGTGTGGGCCAAGAATGAAGTAATGTTTTCGTAGGCACCTTTGCTGCATTTGCACATTGATTGCAGTTTTGAATAAATGTTTTTATATCAGCATCAATGTTTGGCCAATATACAAAACTCCGTGCTAATGCCTTGGTACGCTCAATACCTTGATGACCACGATGTAATTGTTTAAGTACACGTTTTTTGTAGACTTGTGGAATAACAATACGTTCACCGTACACAACACATTCATTTATTAATGATAACTCATTTTTCCTGTGTAAAAATGCTTGTAATTCTCTATTACTCATTGTTTTGTTAGGCCAACCATTTGTAATATAATATATTATTTGTTTTAGAATTGGATCTTTTGCTGTTTCATATGTGATCATTTTATGTGTTACTGGTAAAGTAGTTATAGTGTTACTTATAATTGAATTGACATTTCTTTCTAATTTGACTGATGCTACAACGTAATTTTCAGGAATATTTTCGTTGTTGTTTGTAAGTCGAGATAATACATCTGCGTAACCAAACCTGTTTGTTGAAATGAATCTTATTTCAAAATCGTATGCTAAAAGCTGAATTGCTCATCTTTGAAGACAATTAGCTTGATGTATAGCAATGCCTCTTTTTCTACCGAAAATAGTCAGTAAAGGCTTATGGTCGGTATGCAATATAAATCTTCTTCCATACAACATTTTATGAAATTTGGTAACTGCAAATATGAGTGCAAGTCCTTCTTTTTCTATCTGGCTATATTTTTGTTCAGCCGGAGTGAGAGAACGTGAAGCATGGCAAATGGGTTTAATGAATCCATCTAAATATTTATGCATGATGCATGCGCCTAACCCATAGTTTGATGCGTCGGCAGCTACAATTAACTTCTGATTTGGATCATAATGGCATAATTATAAATTTGATGACATTATAGCTTTAAAATGATGGAAACACTTCTGATGTATCGCGTCCCATTTCCATTTTAGATTTAACTTAAGTAAATTATTAGTAATTCTAATTTTGGATGGTTCTGCCATTTGCTTGATAGCGGCAATACGTTCTGGATCAGATTTTAACCCTTCTTGATTGATGATGTACCGTAAATACTTAATTTCAGTTTCAAAGAAATTACATTTTTCGTATTTTAATTTAAACCCATAATCACGTAGCCTTGTAAGAACTGCATATAAATTGTCTGTATGTTCAGATGCTGTTTTACCGAAAACAAATGTGTCATCAATATACAATGCAGTGCAATTTAGTCCTGCTAACATTTGGTCCATAATTTGTTGAAAAATTACTGGAAATGTTTTTATTCCAAAAACCATTCTGTTGTACTGGAATAGCCCAATGTGTGTATTTATTGTTAGTAGATGTTTCGATGCGTCATCAACCTCGATTTGTAAGAATGCATCCGATAAATCTATATGGCTAAATATTTTTGAATTTGCCAGTTTTGAGAATATATCTTCTGGTAATGGTAATGGGTATTGATGTGATTCGAGGCAGTTGTTAAGACCAGTTGAGAAATCAGCACATATGCTTACGTTTCTGTTTGTTTTTTTCACAACAACTATAGGTGCTGCCCATGCGGAGAAGTTTACTGGTGAAATAACCTTTAATTCTTGGAGTCTTTTGAGTTCATCTTCAACTAGTTGTTGTACCGCATATGCGACTGGACGCTTTGGCCTAAATACTGGCTGAACGTTTGGTTTCGTTGTGATTACTGCTTTTGTTTTTGTGCATAACCCCATTTTGCCATCGAACACATCTGAAAAAAAGAAGTTTCAGGTGAGTATCTTGATTCGGATTTGAACACAATTGAATACTATCCTGATTCTGACGAATATTATTACAAATAGAATTTATTGGCATATTACATAAGTTCAATTCTTGTATCCAATCTAAACCCATTACGTTGAGATTTTGTATAGGAGTAACAAAACAAGTTAAACTTTGCTGTTGATTTCGATATTCTACGTTGCATTTAAATTTTGCTGACAATGGTAGCTCATCTGTTGCGCTGCGTGCTGTATGTTCTGATTCGCTAACATTATCGGCTTTGATTTTTTTGCAATTGTCTCCAGAAATTATTGTTACATCTGGTGTTGTGTCAAGTTGCAAATTTAATGGTGTGCCATTAATTTTGACTAATATGTATTTGCGTTTAATCATGTTGACTTTATTTGTAGTAAAGATGCTTTTTGAATTGAATTGACGGCCCTTATCAATTTTATGGTATTTTTGATTTTCATTTTGAGTTTTTCGGTATTTTTGATTTTCATTTCGAGTTTTTCGGTATTTATCCTTTGTAAAGATGTTATTATATACAGAAGAGTGTAATGATGTTAGGTTGTAATATTATTAAGGATAGCAGGATCGCCATGTAAAGATGTGTAGCTTCAGGATTGCCATGCAAGGTTCTTCATCCAATACATTAATATGTATTAACTTGACAGGATTGCTAAGGGATTAAGAGCCCCAGAAGAAAGGTTTCGACCTAGCAAGGATAAGTATTAATCTGAGCTCTTCAGCCGCCTTAAAGTACTTTCTACGCTCTTCAGCCGCCTTAATGGTATTACCAGCAGATATGCCGCATAAAACCAGAGATTCAAAATAACATATAGTTTATTCTTGTTGCCTTTGCAAAAGAATCTAAAAGAATCTGATGTATATGTAAAATCTTACTCTATTTATACAAAATATTCTTATGTACTAAACTTATTATTTAATTCCTATATATTCTTAAGTAACCAATCAATATATTGGTTACTCCCAATTTTTGATAAAGTATATAATTTTTACATGTAAGATATTCATAGTATCTATTATACTATTCTAACATATGTTATCTATTTCTTATGCATTTTTACTTGTATATATTATTATAAGAGTTATCCATAAGGTTTAACATTTCTCTAAAGGAATTTGTGTTACTACCGTACAATGACCACATATGATAAAACGTTTGGCTCGCGCATCATGTTACGAGTGCACAATCATAACGGCGTGAGTCAAACAAAATTTAAATGTTGTGACGACATAAATTTATACAATAAATTTTTGTGCTACATATTAGCTAGAAGAAGAAAAAAATACAGTCTGTATGTTAAATAACTGCCACCGCTACACATAATATATTTAATAACTCACGTGAAAATAACTGAAGTAGACTTAGCTAAAAAAAACATAAAATTGAATTAAAATATTATTCAACATATCATGGACATTACCTGCGATCCTCGAAGCCAATGTACCGCGGGCATCGCTACATGTAGTGTGCAGATGCTAATAAAAAAAAAATACAATAAAATTTTAATTTTTGTTTTAAATTGTTTAATGAATGAATGAATGAAAGAACTTGTAAACACAGCAACAATGAACCATTATTATAACACACGTTTAATTTTTTAACAAATATCTATTTGAAACAAATTTATAAATAAAAAGAAAAAAGAACAACAAACACAAAATAATTTCAACATTCTTGGTTGTACAAATTTATTTTATACACATAAACAAAACAAAACAAAACAAAACAAAAAAACTCCGACACCAACTAAGCACATCAACACTAGTTTTTTATTATTTCTAATTTGTTTAATTATATCTTCACATTTGGGGTTAAATATTATTGAATCCACAATATAAATATTTTTTTACCTTGGTTTAAATTATTAATTTACTTTATTTTCACTAATTTTAAGAAAACACACACAAAACACGGCGCGTAGTAAAATTACTAAAAATCACGGCGAAGTAGAAGAAAAGGAAAACAGTAGAACACAAAGTTCAACTTCACGGCGAAGTCAAGTACAGCAATGAATACCGGTACGCTACACCAAAAAGCTCCGGTATGCTCGATATAAAAGGAGGCACATTTCATATAATCGAGGACTTGGTTTTCGACAAGTAAAAGAACAAGTACTCTGGCTCATTGAGCCTTCTGGTAAATTTTACCAAAGACTTGCAATTTTATTTTTTCCAAAACAAGTACACTGACCTATAGGTCATCTGGCACATTGTGCCAAAAACCTGGCTCTTTGAGTCAAACGTAGTTTGAAATTTTCTCGTCTTATGTGTATTATATTTTTTTAACCTGGCTCATTCGGCCAAATAGTTTTTTCACAGCACGGAGTAAACGTTTTTTTTTATTATTTTACAACAGAGGAGGGGCTCAGGAAGTCACACTGGGGTTGCCAAAAATCTTTTAACAAGTAATATATTGAGAAGTAAAAATTCTGGCGTCAACATATTTTTTTTTTATATTAAAAAGCAAAAGGAATGCTTTCAATGAATGATCACTTATTATATGCTAAATAATTTATTTAGAATTTGTTTAATTAAACTTTGTTAATCATAAGTTTTTTTTATGGAATAAATAAAGATATATATAATTTATATATATAAACAACGTTCTTTTTCTTCTAAAACAACGTCTCAGCGAAACTATAAATAAATTGTCTCGACTCTGGACGACGGCTGAGGATACCCCAGCAAAAACTAAAAATTTTTGAACGTCACCCAAAGTGTCGTTACAATTGGCGCCCGAGCAGGGACAGAGTTTTAGAAGAAAAAAAAAAGATCGCACTAGGAACATAAAAAACAGTGTACAAGAAACACCGAAAATACACATCTCAGAGTCCACCACGATGAATGACAAGTTTGAGGACATCGCGAGAATCGCGAATCAAGTTCGCAAATGGGCTGTGCATTTCAATGACGAAACGAACCCACTACCATTTCTGGAGAGATTGGAAGGCCTCGCCGACAACCATAACATTTCCAAAGACATCCTGCCCAGGATGATGCTAGAAATACTCGAAGGGAAAGCCTTAATGTGGCTCCGAAATAACAATCGGAAGTGGACACACTGATCCAGTTTTGTCCAGGATGTTCGAGAATTTTTCTTGCCCTCTAATTACTTAGAGCAACTAGAAGATACGATTCGGAACAGATACCAAAAGAAGAATGAGTCATTTCAAGACTATGTCTTAGCACTACAGGAGTTGATACGGCAAGCCGAGTTTACGAAGGGGCAACAATTAAGCCGAATCTATCGAAACAGTAGGGCGGAATATCAACTAAACATCAAACCACGTGAATTTAGCTCCTTGGGAGAGTTGATCAAATTAGCAGGAGAATTCGAGCGACTTATTTAACTGAGCAGAACAGAGCGACAACACACTCAAGAATGGTCCCCGCCAGTTTCTGTTCACAGAGTACAAACCGAAAGGGTGAACGTACGTAGTGCGTGCCGTAGATGTGGGGAAGCGAATCATTTTGCGCAAGGTTGCACAAAACCTAAAGTACTTTTTTGTTGGACTTGTGGCATTCTGGGCCGTCGAACAAACGAATGCCGTAGGAAAAACCCAATTTATGGAAACCGTCAGAACCCATCGGAAAACTCTTTGGGGGACGACAACCACCCGATCATCTTACCCGTCAAATTAGAATCCAGTCACCCAAAACTGATGCAACAAAGAATAGTCCATAATCAAAGCATTGAATCGAATAATCATATCCAGCGGAGAAGTAACCAGCAACCGATTCCACCAATCGCAAAACGAGCAACAGCAGTTAGTAATCCAATAACAAGTACACTACCCACGCTCAGCATACAACATCGAAGTGACTCAGAACCACACTCAGTACCACTACAGGGAAAACCACAAAAGCAGGCATTACATAAATGCATCGTAACTCCTCCACAGATTTCAACGTATCATCAAGAAAGTCCTAAAGAATGTTATCAACAAGCCTATGCACAACAGTCGCCAGCCAACCACAATCAAAATACACAACCACGAGAACAAAAACCTCAAATCGAAGAGCATGATTCATCATCACTTCCAGCACTACCACAACGTTTACCGATAGTACCAGAGTCATCACATGTCAATCATCCATTGTTACCAATTTCTACAAGTTCAGAATCGTCGTCGCAAACGCCACAGTGTCAGGTATAGGTATATGTTGGAGTGGCGGCCTTGTATCCCAAAAAGCCCACTTAAGCACAAATAAAGACCCGTTGTGGTACCACAGGAGTTACGTTATTTGTATATAGATTTTAATCAGTATACATTTAACGCCGAAAGAAAGGTAACGACTCCCCCATTATGCAAAGGAAAACAGTTCTATGAACTTGGCTAGGTCCCTAACATTACAGGATGACAACTCAGTCAGATCAGTTAGAAAAGGAGATCCAAGGATTTTTAATCTTCTTCTGGCTAGGGAAGGGCACTGACACATGAGATGGAGTACAGTTTCCTCCTCATCCTCAGAGCCACAGCCTCGACAAAAGTCATTAAAGGGGAGACCCAGTCTCATAGCATGCCTTCCTATTGCGCAGTGTCCCGTCAGCACAGATACCGTAGTGCTGAGCAGGTTCCGCCTTAGTTGAAGTAGCTGACGGGTTCTTTTCTTGTCAAAGTTCGGCCAAGTCAACCTAGAAATCTGACATTGAGGTTCGTCAGCCCAGTATTGCTTGGCTATACTCAGGTATTTTTGTATGATTGCCAGTTTAACTGTAGCCTATATCAGAGAGGTTAATGTTAGGGAGAAGAGCACCTGCCTTGGCTAGATCGTCTGCCCTACAATTTCCTGTGATATCCCTGTGACCAGGAACCCAAATAAGTTTGACCCTAACAAACCTAGCTAGGTCATTTGGTGAAGCACGGCAGTCTTGAGTTGTGATTGATGTGGCGGAGGTGCCAATCAGTGATCTCATGGCAGCTTGGCTATCAGAAAAAATTGAGATTGGTAAATCGGAAGTTCGATTCCATAGAACCCATTTTACAGCTTAGTGAATTGCCATTATTTCGGCTTGAAAGACGCTACAGTGGTTCGGAAGTCGAAGCGAGATGCTGAGACCCAGTCTTTCAGAGAAAATGCCACAGCCGACTCGTTTATCTATTTTGGAGCCGTCCGTGTAAATGTCAACCGTTTGGAGAGGGATCGCTCTTTCAAGGATCCAGTCCTCCCTGCTAGGTATAAGAGATTCGATCCCCTAATTAGGTCTGGGTAACAACACATGTAGTCAATAGAGACGGGAGTTGGCAGATCCTGATTCAGTATGATCGCGTGGCCTATATCAGTTCTTGACCAGCAGGAGAGGGCGTTGAGCCTAGTTGCAACTATTTTGGCTTGCTGTTTTACCAGAAGCCGAGATGGCA